CCCCAAAACCCCAAAACCCCAAAACCCCAAAACCCCTTAAAAATATATATTTATTGAAAAATTCTTAAATGCAGGCCCAAATCAGTAATTTATGCTTGAATAAGCATCTAGACAAAGTAAAGCAGGACCCTAAGTATCAGGCCGATACGAGGAAATTGGAAATCATTGAGACTCTGGATGGCTATAACCAGATTTTGGAGAGGTCTCTCGGTCAGATAGGTAATGTGGATAATAAGTGGGGGAAGTGCATTGTATGCAAGGGAGATAAGACTTATTGGTTGCTTCTTGATGTGTTGGCTTATTAAGCGAGGAAATATAGTTCTGAAAAGTAATACTTATTCAGGATTTACTTAAATTCAGTAAACATATATAGTAATGAAAACCTTTATTTGCTCTTTAACTTATAAATATTAGAGGAAAGATTGGAAGAGCTCAAATCAGAACTTAAAAAGCCTCATAACGGCTCACTAACATCCAGGAAGCAAAGCCTCAAGTAATGCTTAACCTCACCTTTAGAACCGAGACTCTCAAGAGTAAAAAGAGTCTCCAAAACTCCCAAATAAAACAATCGTACACTCTCTACATCACCTATAGAATCACATACCTCTCTAAACTAAAATCCCAAGAAAAATCCCTCAAACAAAAACTAAAGAAAGCCAAAGGCTCAAGCAACTTCACCGAGTAACCCTTAAAATCCCTTCACTAACCCAAAAAATCTAGAAAACAGAAATAAAATTGACCAAAACCTTCAAAAAATCCACGATCTCCAAAAACAACTTTACGACCAAAATCTCACTATCAAGCGTACAGGCGAGAAGTTCTTAAAGAACTCCAAAAGAGACCGCAGTCCTCAGAAGCTGAAGGGCATGGTCAGCCAGATCAATGACTTCAAGCATAAAATACTGTATGGAGAAGCTGGTTTCTTGGTGGGGTTGGGGCTAAGCCAGATTAGATGACCGGCTTTTCTACTTGGGGGTAGGATGAGTGGTTTGTATAGCAAGAGACAAGCAGAGTACGAGATGCAAGAGGATCTCACTAAAGAACAGATTTTGTAGGGTTTTAAGGTGAGTTTTAGGGAGAATACTGATAAACTTGAGTTCCAGAATGAAGAGATACTTGAGAAAATTGAGAAAGTGAAGGGAGAGAAGAAGTCAAAGGTGTTGAATGAGGAAGGGAAGAAGAAAGATATTGAGAGAGTAACGGCTGAAAGAGATGAGGCTAAAGAGATATTTGAGAATATGAAGAAAGAAAATGAGCAAGAGATTAAATTTTCTAAATAAAATCACTAAGGAGGTTCTTTCAGAGCATAAAGCTCTTAAGTTGAAGTTAGCTGAAGTTGTCAAAGAAGGAAGAATGCTGAAGATTAAGATGAAGCAGAAGGAAAGAAAACTTAATATGGGTGCGAAGTTAAATCCGCTCAATCATACTCCACACTCTCCAGCAAAATCTAAGAATAATAATAAAGATCTTCTTGGAGTAAGGAATTCTGGGACTAACTCAATGGTCAATCTAAAAAGCACTGATAAAGAACTAGACGAAACCCCTGTAAGAGTCTCAGCAGATATAGGTTCTACAAATCATACCACGTTACCCCAAATTAAATAATTCTCAATTATACAAAACAGAGCTGGGGTTTTGGGGTTTTGGGGTTTTGGGG